GCTCGGGATTTTATTTCCACTCAAGAAATAGCAAATAAGATGGTGGTCAGCAGTAGCATTTTTTTTTCGGTACTGGTGCTAACCGCTTAACGGTAAGTTAAAGGTATATATTCATCGTACAACCCAAATTTTTTTGAGTTCTCCATCTGAATACACTCCAAGCCTGGAGTTTAATTTTAGACTGAAGGAGTGCGTAACTCCTCAAAAGAGTGGTTTCAGCGTGCGTTGTGGGTTAACCCTGGTAGACAGCTAAGCACCACACAGCTGCTTGCTCGCTCCCCCCCCGCCGTGAGATGGGAAAGAGCATCGGAAGGGCAAAAGTGAGAAGACTCATGGGTTGAGATAAAGACAATTTAAGAGATAAAATGAAGCTGCAGATGCCAAATAAGAAATGTATTCCCCGCTTTCCATCAGTGGGCTGGTTTTGCTTTTTAGCCGTTTCCGGGAAAGCAGGGCTTCATCAAGTGTGACGGTGACTTGGGAAGACAAATGCCATAATGCCGCATGTCTCCCTCTTTCTTCCCCCACCTTTAATTGCTGAGCACGATGTCCTATGGTCTGGACTAGCCCCTTGGTCAGTTCGGCACAGTGGTCCCGGCTACGGTCCCTGCCAGCTTCTTGTGCCGCCCTACTCCTGGAACGGGGAGAGCAGCACGAGAAGGGCAGGCGGCCTTGGCGTGATCTCAGCGCTGGTCAGTGACAGCTAAAACAGCAGTGTGCTTTAAACGCTGTTTTGGTCACACATCCCAGACACAGCACTCTGCAAGCTACTGTGAAGAAAATTAACTCTGTCCCAGCTAAAACAAGCACAGTGTGAAAGACAAAACGTGGAAATAATCTTTCAAATGCTGTCATGCAATCTTTATTTTGCCTGATCTATTTCTTTTCAAAGGACGTCAAGTCTAATTGTTTACAACAGGAGAAATTTGGCTTAGGGATATACAGCAGATTGTAATGGCGCAGCTTATGAGTGTACAGGGAAATGTGTGGTTTGTCAGTTCTAATGGCACAAATTACGCATATGGCAACACTGTGTATTCGTCTGGCTTACCTTCTTTGTATTTAGAACAGAAATGGCCGGCTTATTTTTTTTAAGCAGTATTTTACAAATAGTAGAATAATACTGCCCGCAGTTTAATCCTTCAAACAACATGCTTCTGACTTTGGGTCGTATGAGACAAGAAGGAGTCTGGTGTTGCAGAGAGTCTTTCTGAAAAAGATAAGCTATCAAAAGATGAGCAACAGACAACCTACATAAAGATGGTAAATGATTGTTAGTCTTTGGAATTTTAGTTTTCGTTTAAGCACCAGTGGTTTGTTGTGTTACTTTTGGCAAAAATCGTAAAGCAGAGGATAGAAAGTAACTTTTTCCAAAAACAATAAATTAATAAGGCTATTTGTTAGTGGTGGCTTTTTAGTTAGACCCTGCATAAACCAAGGATTAGGCTGTTTATTTTTCCTATACTACGCATCTAATACCGCATATTAGCGACTGAAACTTTGCAGTCACCTCTTGAAGATTGCTCCCTATCCTCACCCCAGATCGGGATATAAAGTAATAAGCTGAGAGTTATCAAAAATTAAACTCAATGTAGACATTGTGAAGATACTGAAATGAGCAGCGTGAAAGGTCTTCAGCTGTCTGAATGAAAAGAAAACAAGTTACAAGGGAAGGCCACGACACAGAGAACATGCGGGGGAGATTAATAATGACCTGGGAATGGCTCCTGAACTAAATTAGCACTTTTTTCTGCTGTTCAGTAAGGATGATGCTAATTGTGGAGGGTTAAAGAAAGATGATGGAAAAGAAGGTCTGAAAGTAGAAGTTGTATAGCAAAGGTAAAAACAACATTCCAGTTGGAAGGTGATACTGAATAATTTCCATTTCAGAATTTTAAGACGACAGACAAGCTATTGAAGAACCTGTACTGGGTGTTTAATTAATGTGTCATGACAATGGTACAACGTGGCAAAAGAAAGCATGAGTGGTTCCTTGGTTTAGGAAGAGGAAAAAAAAGATGATTTAAGTATATGCAAGTGTGCAAGTGCAAACTTGGTCACATACATGGTTTTAGAGTAGATTTTAGAAGGACTATGACAAAAGACATAAGGAGAAATGTGATTAATTTGAGTAACCTGATCTAGTGAAAGATGTCCCTGCCCACAGCAGGGGAGTTGGAACTAGATGATCTTTAAAGGCCCTGCCCAACCCAACCCATTCAGTGATTCCATGATTCTGAGACAAGAGCTCTTCGTTACGACCTTGCTGGAGAAGAAAACACATTGTGTAACTGCGCTTGGCTGAAAGACTGGGTAGATGTATGAGCCTGATGACGAGCTCAGATGTGTCTGTGCAGTGTGATGCATCTGCGAAAAATACAGTCCTAGCATATGTTAAGAAAATTTCCAGCAGTGATGAGGCCTCATCACTGTCGTGTACAAATGGCCAAGGAACAGAGATTTCTGGTCTCCTGTGCTAGAGATTACTTGGAAGTGGGCCAACTGCATGGAAGCAACTGGTTCAGGAAGAGTGTTTCTTGTGAGTTGGTGAAAAAGTAGCAAATATGAAGACAGGGAGATGATACATCAGGAGTCCGTAAATGCAATATGGAGGAGGAAAGGCTCCTTACTATTAAGGGGAACACTGTAAAAGAACAAACTGGTGCAAAGTAGCCATTGAATTATTGTTGTTATTATTGTAATTAAAAAATAAACTCTTTAAAATATGCTGGAAGCATATTTTTGAAGTTAAAATTTGCCAAGTACTTTCTATAGTGAGGAAATAAAAATTAATCTGATTTTATATCATATTTTCTGACAACATATCTGTGCTATTAATTTCAGGGGATCAAAACTCATGAGTCATGTATTGGGAAACCCATGAATTTCACTCCTCAAGTAATTACATATTTCTTTTCTTTAAGGTTCTGTGTTCTGGTGTGTCTTGAGTTCTGTATTTTACTCTTTTTCTTTGCTTTTAGAACCTGCTCTTGTGTCAGATCTCTCTCATAGTTCCTCATCAGAATCTGTATTTATCTAATTTAATTCGGCCTATAGCATGTTACTAGAAAAATGATTGCCTGAGAAATACAGGTATATAGTATATTTTTCTAGTTCTTTGTTAAGTATGCCTGTGAATTGTCGATATATCAACATGAAGGATTCATTTCCAGAAGGAAACTTAAGTGGCCGTAAAAACAAATCACCCGAGCACCTAGGTTTGATTTACCTCAACAACTCCACACTCAAGTTTGTAATTTAAATTAAGTTCTTGGGAGGCAACTGTATGCTTTGCTCAAGAGAAGGAAAACTTGTTTTTCTGGTAGGTGTGGCTGCTGATACTAAAGAACACTAACCGTCTGAAATAAAATGTGTCGGCAAGTGTCTTAGGTATCGTACCAGCATTTTTTTCCCCTCAGTATTGTTCTGTATTGAACAATTCTTGCAATTTATCTTAAAAAATATTTAAGTTTTTATCTGTTTTAGAATAAACAATTTGTAGATTATACCTTAGCAAAAAATAACTGGAGGACTGAACAGAACTTCACTCAGCTATCTGCTTTAAAAGGTACTTTTTCCTTTCAGATGTTCACTGTTCAAAACGCAGTTGAAAGGATATATTATTTTAATTGTTCATTATTTATAGCTAGCAAAAGCAGAAGAAATAACAGGCAATAAATTAATTGTATTATTTAATGCTGACATGTTTTGATATTTCTTTAATAAAAACTATTTATTCTATAAGACTGAACAATATTTTAAGTCATAAATAGATAAGACTGAGGAAAAAAATGTTAAATGTGACCTACTCTGTGCTGTAAGAATGCTAAAATATTTAACAAGCAGGGAATAAGAATGCTTAGGGAAAACTTTTTGTCTGTCTAACATTTTAGAAGGTTTAATCCAAAGGCGTCAAAAATTTGAGTTGTTCTCAGTGACAAATCTCCAGCAGCAAGTTGTATGACAGTAGCAGGCTCTTACCGTGTGTTTGCAGTTCTGCTCTAAATTTTAAGGACTTGGGGGGGGAGCCCTGAGAGGCGGCACTGCTGGCTGCTGCCGCTCCGCTTTGTGCCCACCGTGACGTGAGGTTTCTGGTGCCCTAGGACTGTTCTGGTCTGTAAAGCAATTTCTTGGTAGGAAAAACTGCTGTAAATTGTGTCAGCCTTGGCAAATGGGGCGTTTTAAGGGGTATGTTGTGACCGTAGTTCTCCTTACTTTGCTTTTTTCAGGAAAGAGCAATTGTAAAAATATTGGACGTTGTTCTGAAGGTGCGGGCAATTATTTTTTTTGCCTAAACTCACTTGAGATTAGGAAGCTAGATTGCTGTATTTCAGAAGCTAGATTTCTAGATTTTACTGATAGGAAAATACTGTGTTTAAGCAGAAAACCAGACCCTAGGGGAATTTTGCAAGCCAAGCAGTGAGGTTGCCAGTGAATTTAGGCACTTCCAAAGTTATGAAGCTGCTGAGTATGATACCCGGATCAAAACTATGGATTTAGGTGCTTTCTAGTTTTGTATCTTTCTTACTTTTCTTTGAAAATGCTACTTTTCTGTTCCATCACAAAACAGTATCAAGATAGAGGCTCTCAAAATAGCTTTACACAATGTATGAAATGCAAAAAAAAAGTATGAAGTATTAAGTTTCATTATTATTTTAGAGTAGACAAATATGCTTTGGAAAAAAATATTGTTAGGTATTTAGCATGTGCATACTCGCTGAAGATACTTAGATTACTAAGTATTTAAGCCAGTGATTTTCTTAAGAGTCTTGAGCAGTAAATGAAAAGACAAGAAATATGAGAATCTCCCAATATTTGCTACACCTATGACATTGCTACCTGGTTTAGCTATAAATTATATGTACCTAGAAATCTGGGTCTTTTAATGGTTTAATTTCTCTTCTCAGCAGCTGGTTTTGTGCAGCAATGACATGCCTACTAGAAACATTTTCTTCCTCTGGTGCAATAGAATCGGTTTATTCCATCCGGGCATTTTACCCCACGCTTCTTGCTGGCAGTCGGTGATACTCTCTTCTACCAGTCCAGTTTTCTGATCTAACATGAATTTGATTAATCTGGGGCACTCCTTCCACGAATCCCTGTGGTACAAGCAGGCCTTTGAAAACACTTGCTCTCACCTTTCTGTTTATGGATGATACCTGGATACCTAAAGATGAATGTGTAGAGGAAACTTTAATCTGAGCTCCACTAGCAAAAATTACTCCTTGCGAGTGCCACGAGCTCCCTGTCAGGCATTAACACTTGCTAGCACACGAGTGCTGCTAAAGCCTTGGGCCGTCCAGGTACTCGGGGATGTTCCTGCAGCAGCAAGAGTTTGAAGATCTGACCCCCCCAAACCTTGCCGGGAGCTGAGCCAGCATTAATGCAGTGGCAGGAGGCCCAGACCTCTAGCAAACATAATACAAGGCGACCTTCCCTGCAAGCCTGTCTTGTACAGTGCCGAGTAGGGTAGAGCTGATAACTGAGAATAAGTTTTATACCCCCATGGATTTCACCTGTTTTCTGCTGAATTGTACAAACTGACCTTCGTCTGTACATATAGTCTTATCTGTGGTGAGCTTCAAGTTAGGGAGTTTGTACATTAGAGATTGTATCTGGACTATCATGTGTAATCCCCAATTACCGTGTTTTTTATGAACTTGATTAATTCTGTATACATTTAATATATGTATCTGCTGCTAACTTGTCTGTGAGAAGTCCAGTTGAGGATTGTTTTGAGCTTAATTTACATGTACACTGTAGGGGGGAAAAAACCCCATGCTTTTGTTTTGCTTTAAAAATTACTGCCTAATTATTTAATTGGATGTTCTAAAATTTGGATTAGAGAAAATAATGAATAATGACTCCTTGTTCTCCTATACCTAAACCTCTCAGATTCTTTCACAGAACCCTCCATGTACAGAAACCGGTCCACACGTCTGACATCTAGAGGCATTCAGATTGCCACATGCTGTACCGTCCATCCCATTAAAGGTGTGTTCTGTAATTGATTTTTCCTAAAAGTGCGGTAGCTGGGTCTGCGATTAAGTCCAATTTGCCACCTGTCTTGTTTGTGAAATTCTTGAGCAATGATCATAGTCAATATTATCTCATACTACATATTTTCTTTTCTGCAGATGCGGCGGCATAAAGTGCAAGGAGAAAGGAATTTGCATCCACATTTAGATACATTCCGAATGTTGTGTGGTGGGAAAAAATCTTACTTTGCTGCTGCTGTATGCATTATTACTCTAACTTCAATGGTCACACTTTCTTATCTTAGGCTACAGAGACTTTCTCACCTGCCAAAAGTAATTCAAGAAGGTAGCAGATGCAGAGGGAAAATTACCAGTAGCACAATAACAGCACTAAAAGATAACAGAACTTTTATTATAGCCCCCTACTTTGATGACAGAGAAAGCAAAGCCACTCGTGTGATTGGGATTGTTCACCATGAAGATGTAAAAGAACTATACTGCTGGTTCTGCTGTCAACCCCATGGAAGGATATATGTATCAAAAGCAAAAATTGATGTTCACTCGGATAGATTTGGATTCCCTTATGGTGCAGCAGATATAGTTTGTTTGGAACCTGAAAACTGTGATCCGACACATGTATCGATTCATCAGTTTCCACATGGAAATATTGACCAGCTGCCAAGGTTTGAAATTAAAAACCGCAAGGCTGAGACCTTTTCAGTTGACTTCACTGTATGCATCTCTGCCATGTTTGGAAATTACAACAATGTCTTGCAGTTTATACAGAGTGTGGAAATGTACAAAATTCTTGGGGTGCAGAAAGTGGTGATCTATAAGAACAACTGCAGCCATCTGATGGAGAAAGTCTTGAAGTTTTACGTGGAGGAAGGAACCGTAGAGGTAATTCCCTGGCCAATAAACTCACACCTCAGGGTTTCTTCTAAATGGCAGTTCATGCAAGATGGAACACATATTGGCTACTATGGACAAATCACAGCTCTGA